TGGAATGATTTGCTGTGTGATGTTGTGACGCATAGAGTATCCCCCAAAACCTATAAAATCTCACTGAACAAAGGACCGGGACTCACTCCTTGGGACCACTGCATAGGAAACGGTTGTGAGTCCAGGCTGGAGATTGCAATAAAGACTCTGCATCGGATTCGGCTCCTGGAGGTCTACTGGGGTCCCATGAATCTGGCATTACACAACTCTCAGCAGGTATTTGTGGAATGAATGACTTTTGAAATGCTGGATAAGAATCAACTTATTTTTCAGCCCATTTTATTTACTCTTGCATTTCTGGTTCAAAAAGAAAACATCTGTTCTTCTGAACAGTCTGCCGGCTTTTGGCCAAAGCCTGCCAGGCAGGTGCCCCAGCTCAAAGGGTAGGTTCCGAGTTCCGCTTCTGGGACTTCAAGTCACTGTGAAGTTTGAAACTTGTCATCTAATGTAGGTGTATTGGAGATAATTATGCATTTGGGAGTAGTATTGTTCCCTGAAGCTCAAGTGCACAGTCGCTGCCTGTTTAATAAACACCTCGAGGTGGATGGACTTCACCTGAGAAGCAGAGCACTGCCCACTACCCGGATCCCCCCAGCTGGTCGGCATCCAGGTGTGTGGCCTTGTGTCCTGAAGCAGAAGTGACTTTAACTTCTCCGTCCCCTGCTGTTTGCCATTATCTCGCCTTCAAGGCTGTAAGTGTGGAGGTCCTCAGGAAAGAAGGGCTTTAAAGAGAAAGGAACCAAGCTGTGGTCCTTTGCAGAACCCTGAGGTTCAAACCACCACCACCAGTGGCTGCCATAAAGCATGAGGGCCTGAGTTTTTTGGGGTGGTGGTGTCAACGGGAATTGAACTCAGGAGCACTTGGCCACTGAGCCCCATCCCCAGCCCTATTCTGTGTTTTATTTAGAGATAGAGGCTCCCTGAGCTGCTTAGGGCCTCACTGTGGATGAGGCTGGCTTTGAACCCGTGATCCTCCTGCCTCAGCCTCCCGAGCCTCTGGAATGACAGGCGGGCGCCACCACACCTGGCTATTTGAAAGGAGAGATTATCCAGTCCCTGAAAATCTGGCAAAAACACATGCAAAACACTGAGCCTGCTATTTTGGGGAAGTTGGTCGAAAACAAGGTCAAAGGGCAAAGAGCTGAAGGGCTGAGATCACCATTTTAGTTTCTCTTTTCTGCTGTACCGTGTTGGCATTTTTAAATTCTATTCAAAACTTTTGACATTATTTTTCTAAAAGCTCACAAATATCATTTATCATTCACTTGTTCCTAAACTCACTAGGAAGTGGGCGGGGCCTGTGGACTGCGGAGCTGCGAGGAGCAGGGCTTTGTGCTGGGTCTGCTCTGGGGCTGGAGTGTCCCAGGGCCCCTGTGGCGGGTGGGTCCCAGCGTGTTCTGTTGTGGCGGGTGGAGCCTTTAGAGGCAGGCTCCTTAGTGCAAGGACAAACGCTGCCCTTCCTGGTCCGCGTTGGCCTCTCTTGTTCCTGGTCCTTCGTTTTCTCTCCCTTCACCTTGGGGAATTGGTCACCTGGCCGGGGTCCTTGGTGGCCCGGCCTTCCCCTCCTTGCCGGTTGGGGTTCCTGCCGCTGTGGTTTGAGTTTGCCCTTGGACATGAAGTTTTAGGGCCATCAGTTTTCCTTGAAAGCGCTGCACCTGTTTTGTGGGATGGGGAATTAGTATTATTCTTGAGCTGTTATGTCGTCACCCTCTGAATCTGGGTTTCCCATTCCTGGATTCCACCGACCGTGAGCCATAAATATTTGGGAAAACAATTGTGTGTGTCCCTGCCTGCCTGCCTGCCCTCATGTCCCAGCAGTGCCGGGAAGCCTGTCCCACAGAGAGGCTCGGGTGGGAATCCTGCGACGTGTGAGTGGAAAGGGAGATGCTGGGGCTGTGAGCAGCTGCAGAGACTGGAACCAATCCCCAGGAGTACGAAGGGACAACTGTAGTTTATGTTTCCTGAAAGTAGCAGGGAAACGGGAATGAAAATAAATGCATGGCTTATGGAGCAAAAATGAGCTTATCGGAGTCCACTGTGTCCATTTTTAGACTGTGGAGAACAGATAGGAAACCCCAATGTCATGAATAAAAGTAGAACCTAGGAGCTCTGTCTCCACATCCCACAGCCTCCCATTTCTGGCGTGAGTTCTTCTTCTCACTATTGAGCGCATTGAAACATGATTAGCAGCCTTTTACCTTCCTGTTAGCGGGGTCTGGCTCGCTGGGACCGCCTTCGCACTGTGCGGTGGTGATGACACTACTTCTCTGATGTTTGCTGAGACTGATCACCTCGCCTGTCCCTGGTCTATTTGAATAAGATGGTGACACGTGGGATGAGAAGAGACTGGATTCAACACTGGAGACGAGGTTCCTGTAACTGCACCTCACGGGCCTGTCTGCTGAAGCGCTTAGCCTGTCCCGCATGTAGCAGTTTTGGTCTGGTCTATCAGTTACTGAGAGTTGAGAGTCTAAAATCTCCCTTTATCCCGGGGGCTTGGGAGGCTGAGGCAGGAGGATTGCAAGTCCAAAGCCTCAGCAAAGGCAAGGCCCTAAGCAACTCACTGAGACCCCGTCTCTAACAAAATAGGGCTGGGGCTGGGGCTCAGTGGTCGAGGGCCCTGAGTTCAATCCCCAGTACCCTCCCCCAAAACATCTCCCTTTGCAACACTCTGTTTTTCCAAACTTCTGTGTCTTCCAGTTTTTCCCTTATGAATTTTGAGGCTAGTCAGCAGCGTAGAAATTTAGAATTTTGCTTTTTTGTCAAGTTTCCATTAGGAAGTGAGTCTTCTTTCTCAGCGCCTGTCACTCCAGCTTTTATTGTGCTGATCCTTATATATCAGCCACGTGGGACCCTGTGCCTCAGTGGAGTTTTCTTCCAAAAAGCACCTAGTTTTCAAAGGGTGTGTGGAATATCGCCTATATCGTTACTGATATTTTTATTTTTATTTTATTTATCCTGCTTTTTTAATATTTATTTTTAGTTTTAGGTGGACACAGTATCTTTGTTTTACATTTATGTGGTGCTGAGGATCGAACCCAGTGCCTCGTGCATGCTAGGAGAGCGCTCCACCACTGAGCCCCGGCCCCAGCCCAGTCCTGTTCCCAGCTTTTTTAAAATCGATGTATTTATTCTCCACTAACTAGATATAAGTATAACCCTCTGCTTCTATTTCTGTTTGTAAATATGCATATTTAACTTATTCTAAAAATAATCTACTCTTTTTCTGTTCCCAAACTTATAACACCCCAGGTCCCTTTGTTGGGGTTTAGCTATGAAATTTCCCTCGAGGCTCAGTGGGACACAGGCAGGAGCCTGCAGAGGTGAAGCGATCAGATTAGGAGGATCGTGACCTCATCCGTGGATTGATCCACCCACTGCATGACCCAGTGGAACCTGCGGGCAGACAGGGCTGGCGGGAGGAATGGGTCCCTGGGGCGGCTCTTCGGGTCTGTTTTCCCAGGTGAGCAGAGCTGTCTGTCCCTGGTTGCCCTGTCCAGAGCTGCCGCCCTTTTGCCACAGTGTCCTGCTCCACCTCAGCCCAGAGCTGTGAGGTCATTGACCAGGGACCAAATGTCCAAGACCATGAGCCCAAATAAACTTTTCCTCCTCTAAGTTGTTCCTGCTGGGCGCTTTGGTCACAGCTGGCTAAAACCCCGCGGTGACCTATCATCACCCACATGAGACGGCTCTGGTTGCAGTCGGGGTTGCTCTGTCCACACTCCCTGTCTCTGCCCACTGTCTGCTTTTCTTGGACATTTCTGAAATACTGCCTTGCCCGTTTCCTTAGATGGGGAGGCGGGAGGTAACGGGTGTGTTGACGTCTAAAGGGGCAGCAGCTGCCCCTGGCCGGGCTGCAGAGGAGCTGGCCAGGCCCCAGCACCGTCCACCCCACAGGGAGTGCCCGCCCGGCCCCTGGAGGACAGGGCCACGTGCCCGGTGAAGAGGGCCCACGGGGAGACAGAAAGAGACCCAGAGGCAGCACTTAAAACCGAGGGAACTCATGCTTTAATAGACACTGAAATCACAAAGGAAGAAGGCCAAGCGCCTTAGCAGTCTCAATAAAAATATGAAGTTCTTTTTACATGGCAAACTTTGTAATATAAAAAGTTTAATGCTATCTGGAAACTGTGAAATTTACAAAAAAAAAAAAAAGTCCATGTAGGCCGCGGACGGCTCACACTGCACGTAAGGAGCGGGAATGCCAAGAGGGGGCGTCGGTGGCCGCGGCGCCCAGGGACAGGGCCGGGGTGCGGCAGCGCGAGGGCCCAGTTCACACAGCACACGCAGACGTGTCAGATCACACCGGCGCTGCCAGGAGGTCACACAGTGTTCCTCTGGCTGCTCGCCAAGGGCAAACCAGGTTATTGCTGGGGTTTCTGCGACTGAACCTAAACTAGCCAAGTACATTCTCCTGGGGCCTGCGGTGCGGGGCTGGGCAGGAGGGGACAGGGGACTTGCTTGGCACCCACCCACTGGAGGGTCCGTGGGGCAGAGGAGAGCGGGGCAGGACCCGGGGGCAGCGCCTGGTTTCTTTCAGTGAGGACTTGGGGAGGAGGGGACAGCAACTGGGGCACACCTGTGTCACCAGCGTGGAAGGTCAGCAGCTGACCTGCTCCTGGTGATCTGACTTGGTTAATCATCAAGTACCAGAGGAGTTGGCTGGGGGGAGCTGGGGGCGTCGTCTACCTCTCACTGTGGGCCTCCCAATGTCCCAAGAGAGGGGGGCCTTCCTGCTGGTCCCCAGTGTGTTTGCATGTGAGGGGGCAGGGTCGGGGCCATCCGTTTCCTGAGCTAAGAGCACGTCAAGGCTGCCTGCAGGGGGAAGCGGATGCTGCGGTGGATTCCACACACCAGCCGGTGAGTCCTCCCCAGGATGAGCGCCAGGGCCCTGCAGGAGCGTCGCCCAGGTCTCCACGGCTGTCCTCCCTCCCGACACTCCTTCCTGGGTCGCAGGCCTACGCCGGGACTTGCAAACTTTCTCTTTCAACCCGGGTCAGCATTTGATCATTTAGGCTTCGGGGGCCAAGAGGCAAGATCAAGAATATCATGTAGGTACTTAGAGAGCGACTGAAAGAGGTAGAATCCTCTCAGCCTAGGACACCCCCCCAAAAAAAATTAGCCTACGGGTCCCCTGCCAGCCCCTGCTCCTGCCAAGAAGTCCGAGTTGTCCCACCGTCTCCCACGGTGCAAGCACACAGTTTTCAGAGTAGCCTGGAAATTCACTCTGACGCTGATTTGTACACGTGGGGACTCCGGTGGGGACACTGGACCTCTATCCAGCCACTCGTTTCCCCCCTGAAACTGATGTTCAGGACCAGGTGGAAAGGTCCTGTGTGCAGCAGGAGACCAGGGACAACAGGTACCGAGGGCTAGAAGCAGGTCGGTCACCAGTACTCGCCGGCTGAACCCGCAGGAAGTGCTCTGGGGGGAGGTGTTCTCCAGAGTGGAGGGACAAGGCCACAGAACCCAGGCCCCTGCCCGAGGGCTTAGGGCATTTGGCCAGGGGACTGCGGAGGCGCCCTGAGGAGGCTGGCGGTGGGGCGGGGCTTGACGGGGTGTGCTCTTCCTTGCTGAGAACTGACTTGCCATCTGAACACACAGTGCTGTCCCCCTGGCTGTCACCTGCTACTCTAGCACTTCTAGTACCATCTTCCCCTGTGAACATAAGACTTCTCACAACTGCCCACTGCTTTATGAAGGATCCCTCCCGGGGCGGTCAGGGCTGGACAGGGCAGCCTCCCTGAATCGGCCTGGCTGTCGTAAGCCCTCCACGATGCGCTCCTGAGAGTAACCGAGTGGAGGACATCCTTTCGTCCCCTCAGAAGAGTACGCTGACCCCCACAGGCATGGGGCCAGTCATGTCGGTGCAGTGCGACCCTCCCCACGGCTAAGGCTGCAGCTGGGGTCCTGGTGCTGGCGTCCCTCTGGCAGCCCCATGTGTCCCCTCCACGTGCTGAGGTCCCAGGTCAGGTGGCTGAGCACCTTCTGTGGTGGACCCTCACAGCAAGGGAGGGGGGCTTTAACTTTAAATAAGTATCTTTTAGATAATTCTAGATTCTCCAGCTAATTTTAGCACTAATAGGATTTCCAACACTTCATTTCTATATTAAAATAAATTAAAGGCCACCCCAAGGTGGCCATTCCCTTGATGTGTCCAGCTAGCAGAGACCTTGAGGGTCCTGCTGTCTCTGCGGGAGCTGTGCCTGGTCTCTGATCCCCGACTTCCTGTCTGTTTAGCAATGGTTCAGATGCGGGTGCCCTGCGTCCCAGGACTGGCACCAGCAAGGCAGCTCACAGGGGACAGGGCCCCAGGGCTATGGGACGTGGCGGCCCATGGAGGCTGAAGAGGTCTGTGGGGCCTGGAGTGGGGAAGAGGGGGGACAATGAGCACCTAATCAAAGGCAACCGGGCTGGAAGGAGGGTCTGGTTCCGTCTGGTGAACCAGAGTTTTGTTTTGTTAGTTTTTTTCCCTCCTTTTTCTTTTTTTTTTTCTTTTTTGCTTAATAAGGAAACTGAATATTTTCAACCCTTTCCCCCAAAACTTGATAATTGCTTATGGATGACTATTCAAAATTTGGCATTTTAAAAAACTTTTTGAGCTTTTAAAAATAACAGCTATAAATGCAAAGTACTATTGATAACAAAACCAGGTTGTTCATCCGTGTACAAAAAAGGTCAGTAATGTTTTAAAAGCACAAAGTTGCATCTTAAATCACAATTGCATAGTTCTAAAATGCCTGGGTCGGAGTTACATAAACTTTTTAAGAAAATTCAAGTTTGGCTGAGGTGGGGCCCGAGGGCCTTGCGGAAGCGCGCTGACGGGCGTTATTGCAAGTGGCTGTGGCTGGCCGTAGGACTGCGACAGGTTTACGTCATTGGCATTTTGAAACCGTTATTCTGTTTTTGGCTAATATGACACTTCCATGTCGAACTCGACTTGGATTTTCTGACTCTCCCGGTGGCACCTGGTACAGAGCATTGGAGTTTCTGCAGATATGTCCCCTCCACCCAGAATCATGGCCATTTTTGTACAAAATCCTGTCAAAGAATCACATCAAAGACGAGTGGCAGGGGGTCCGGGGTGGACACGGGTGAGGTGCGGAGACTCGCCCCAGTGCCATCCCTGGCCACCAGCCCGGGGCGCCTGAGGGGCGGGCGGAGCGACGTGCCCTACCAGGGCCGCCACTGGGGGCGCTGCGCGGCTGAGGGGGACAGTGCTCCGGCGGGTGGCCCCCGCGGGAGCGCGCTGCTCTCAGAGTCGTGGGCGGAAAGAGGGAAGCTTCAGCATTTGGAAGAAGGAAAAAACCTTCCTGGGGACAGGAACTTGTAGCCGTTTGCTGAAGGAAGTCTCAGGGGGCGAGCGGGGGCGGCGGGGCCCAGCGCGGTGGTCTCGGGGCGCCAGTGGCCGTTGGGGGGGGCCCTGGGGGGCGCCTCGTCCCGCGGCTGCAGCGACAGCTCCTGCAGTTCCAGCTTGTCAACCCCCTCCTCCTTCTTGTTGTGCCGAGGCGACAAGTTTAGCAGGCTGAGCACGTCTCTCTTGGAGGTGGCGGTTCCCGGGGGCCCTCGCAGCACCCTCACGGGCCCCGCGGGGGGCTGGGGCGCGCTCTGCCACAGCATCTTCAGGTTGTGCACGGCCTGCACCTTTTCGTCAATGGCCGCCAGCTTCAGCTTGTCCAGGTCGGGGGCGTCGGCGGGGCTGGAGCGCGCGGAGCCGGCCGAGGAGTAGGAGAGCGCGGGCGAGGGTGCGCTGCCCGCCGGGGACTGGTGACCCGAGCTGGGGGACAGGGTCCGCGGCGACCTGGAGATGTGGGCGCTGTAGGGGGAGCTGGGGTACTTGAGTTTGAAGAGCGGCTGGTCCGACAGGGAGGCCTGGAGTCGCAGGGGGACGGGCGGCCGCTGTGCTGGCTCGGGGACGCGGGGCTGCTGTACCCGGAGCTCACCTTGGGCAGGGACGAGCTCCGGGCCGGGGGCTTTGGTTTGGTGGCGACGGGCGACGGCTGGCTCTTCTGGTGGGAGAGAACGGGCCTGCTGAAGGCGCTGGTTTCCGAGGCTCTGAAGACCGGGGCGCTGGGGGGCACCGGGGCGCCGTCCTCGCGGGGGCTCCCGGGGCCGCCCTGGCCGCCGCTCCTCTGGAGCCGCTCCACCGCCAGGAGGTGACTCTGCGTCTCTTCCAGAATCTTCTGAGCCAGCTCCTGGGGGTCCAGCTTGGGGCTGCCATCCTCCTGGGACTTGACGGTGCTGTCCGTCTCGGTGCTGGACTGGTCCGACTCGCCCGTGTCGGAGCTGGCCAGCTTGCCCACCTTCTGGAAGGGCGAGTTGGGGCTGGGGATCAGAGTCATCTTGGCCGGGGAGTTGGGGGTGCTCACGCTGCCCTTGGAGCTGACCGATATCTTGGCGCCCATGGCGGCGCCCCCGCGGGCCTGCTTGGGGTCCGGGGAGAAGCGCGCCTCCCTGCCCTCGGGGTGGGCGGCCAGGGGCTCGGTGCTGACGATGGAGAAGCCCTCGTACTCCTCCTCGTCCTTGCTGCCCGCCCCCCGGGCCTGGGGGGACAGCGGGCTCCGCGGCAGGGTGGTGGCTCGCTGTGGGTAAGTGTTCTTGGGCTTGTCGAAGTCCTGCCGTCCCCTGGGGCCTCCGCCCTCCGGGCCACACTCCGGCCTGGAGACGAAGCTCATGGAGGAGGCGATGGAGCTCAGGCTGTACACGGAGATGGCGTCCGAGGCCAGGCTATCCGCCCCTGTCGGGGAGAAGGGCGGGTGCTGGCAGCCCAAGGGCAGGGTGTTGGAGACGGATTGAGCAGAGGCCAGGGACTCCAGGGAGGACGAACTGTCCAGGCTGAGGCGCTTGGGGAGCTCGGTGGAATCTGAGCACAGACACAGGGAGGAGGGTGGTTAGAATGTTAGGCGGTTTCCATTTTCTTTCAAAAATCACAGATGTCCCTAGAAACTAGCGAGAATTATGCAAATGCGACTCCTGCCGGAGTGGAGCTCATTTACACCCAAGTCCAGTTGGAAAGAGAAGTGCATCCAACAGTGGGACAAAGACACCTGGGGAAGCTACAGCCGCACTTCTGAGGCCTGGGCCAGCACTTCAGTTTTCACACCTCTGCTCCTGGCCACTAGGGGGACCCACGCCTGCCGTCCCGCTCTGACCAGCACTGAGCTGTCAGTGGTGTCCCGGTGCTCAGCCCCACATGTGCCATTCGTGGCAGCCGGATCTTGGTGGTCCCAGCAGACTCCAGGAGTCACCGGCCCTCGATGCTCCTCAGCTGCTCTCCCCTGCTCTTACAGAGGCCATCAGGAGGCCAGCACTCCCAGGCCCAGCATTCACCCTCAGACCTGCTGTGGGACACACCCTGCTCTCACCGGCTTCCCCCTCATCTCTGTGACCTTTGAATCCTGGAGTGCCCCTGGACGCGGTCCTCCTCCCCTCTAATCTGCATGCTTCATCTACACCGCATTCGACACTGGTCACCAGCGGCAGCACTGAGTGGGCCCACGCTACAGCCACCGTTCCTCCTGCTGCTTTCCTGACCAGCCAAACAGGGCGGCCCCTGGCTCTCTCCCTGCTGCGATGCACACCCCGGAGCAGATGCCATGGGTTCTGCCCTTCACGCCACGTCCAAGTTGCAGTCACTCTGCAACTGAGAGTGCGCGGTCTGGGCGCCAGCTCCTGCCAGGCCCGTGGGTCCCCAATGGCCCATGGAGGGACAGGCCTCCATGGTGTCCTCGCCCTTACCCTGCCCTTTCCTGTGCCCTGTGCCAGCCCCTCAGGCGCGCTACCTACACCTCAGCCGTCCTCTCTCACAGGTGGTGAGTTCCCTGGGTGCAGGGGGTTTGTTTATTGCCCTGGGCTGGGATGGACCATCTGCCCTGCAGCTCTGCAGTCCCCAACTCCCACACAGAGCCCAAAATGCAGCCAGGAGGAGTGGGCGGGCCTCCCAGCGGGTCTTACCAAAGAGAGCCAGCAGCGACTGCAGGGCGAAGTGCACGGTGCGCCGGCTGGCCTGCTTCCCGGTCTTCAGGATGACCTCCTCCTGCCCCACCTCACACAGGTCGAACCCTGGGGAGACCAGGCACAGAGCTGTGTCCTCAGGGGGCCTCAGGTGCCCCACAGGACGGAGCGGGGCCTCTGCACTGCTCCACACGGTGGGGTGTGTCCACAGGGGCTGGGCCTCCTGTCCCTGTCCCTACACAGCTGAGTGTGGTGCTGCTGCTGCCAGGCCCTGCGCCCTCAAAGAGCTCTGGTCCCCTCCTGCCTGAGCCAGGTGCTGAGCAGGACCTAATGAGGCTCATTAACATGTCCATGTTTTCTGTTCTGCTCACACCATCCAGGGCAAGCACGGATGCTGCACTCAGCACTGGGCCCATATCTAAAGCTGGTGCTCAGGAAGGTGGCAGTTTCTCCTGGGCAAGGACAGCGTCATCACACGGCCTCGCCTCCTGGCTGATTGCCCACAGGGAGTTCAGTCATGCCTAAGCCCAGGGGCTGCTCCCTGACCCCCCAGGACCCTAAGGAGCCCAGAGCAGCACAGCCACGCCCATGCACCAGCCTCCTGGGACAAGGCTGGCTAATGAGCTGCTGATACTGCAGTGACAATGTAGGAGCCACCACAGCGGGTGTGGTGGCCTATGCCTGTACCCAGCCACGTGGGAGGCAGGAGGAACACCTGTGTCCACCAGTTCAGGATCATCCTGGGTGACACAGGAAAGCCCTTCTCTTAGGCAGCCAACAAGGACCTCTCCTCTCCCTGGGAAGATGCTAACTCAGACATGTGGCTGTGATTGTCACAAATGGGGACCACCAGGCATGACAAAGGTCCTGGAGGCCTTGAGCACTGAGTCTCGGCCCCGCCTCTCCCAGAAGACCACTGACTCCACCTGAACCCTCAGAAGGATTGTGCTGAGCTCCCAGGGGACAGGGCACCTGGGGTGCCACGGCCTGTCCTCGGATCAGGGCTCTGTGGCACACAGTGCGGCCACTGTCAGCAGGCCGCGTGGCTCAGGACTGCACAGCCCGTGAGGGGACAGCTCTTCCTGGTCTGTTCTTCCTCAAGGACTCTGACACTGGTCTGGACACCACCTTTCCCTTTGGAACAAGGTTCCCTGGAAGAGGTGACATTCTGATCACCGTGGAGTGACCACTAGTTACATAAATGTCACATTTCTGTTTCTGACCCTAACCTCTGCCTTCACCCACAGCTGACTTGGCTGCTCCCCAGCCGGTGCCCTCCCCTGCCAGCCTGTGCGGGACCCGCAGGGCTCTGCTCTGGATGCCTGGCCTTGAGGGGCTGCTCTCCGCCCAGCACTGGTCACCAGCCCTCGAGGACCGCCTGTGAGCCTGGGCACCCTGACTCACCAGGGTAGCAGCCCATCTCAGCCCCAGAGTCAGCATGGGCACCCTTGTGTCCCTCTGAACGGTGCCCTGTGACACAGCTGGTCCTGGATGTCACAGGTGAGGAGCAGAGCAAAGAAGTCTAGGGGCCCAAGCCACCTGGCCCCTCGAGGCCACGGCTCTCCTATCCTAGAAAGGCATGACAAAGGCAAGTCTCTGGGCTCGTGGGGGACGGGGATGGAGGCTTGGGCCTCTGGGCCTCATCAGCAGATGTACCTGCTTTCAAGAAGCCACCACCGCGTCAAGACTGACTGGCTGCGTGAGGCACAGAGGGGGCACAGTGAGCCTCCTGGGCCGGACAGGGGCCTGCGGGGCAGCACTAGCTGCCCTGGCCCCTGGGTGTCTCAGTGAGTCCTGCTTCCTCCCAGCTCCCAGTAGCCAGCAGGGGCCACACTCAACCACCAGTCTGGCCCTGCGACTCTGAATTTCCTTCAGCTGCTAATCGTGGTGGACGCCACAAATGGAACCCAGCAGATTCCCAGTAAGGCGATGTGGAGAGAGGAAGGAGGTGACATCATAAGGCAGGGGGACGGACGAAGCTGGAGGGCACCTGGGAATCCCGAGGGGGCGTCGGAATCTCTGAACTGTAAGAGGGCATCTAAGGCAGCACTGGGGGGGCCCCAGGGCCCCAGCAGAGCCCGGGGAGCAGCAGGTGGTCAAGGGGCTGGGTCCTACCGAGCGCGGCCAGGAACTCGTGGCATCCCGGGAGCCGCCACAGCTGGACGCTGATGGACACCTGGATGGGGACTGAGGCGAAGTCCTGCTCCTTCTCACCAGCCTGGAGCTGCACCAGCACCTGGTGGAGCTGAGGGAGGGAGGCGGACATGAGCGCCCGGCCCGCCTGGCCTCTTCCCCTCCAGCCCCAGTTGTCCTTGTCCCCGTCACTGCTGTCACCCTCTCGCCTTGTGTGTGTGTAGTGTTTGACAATCTTGTTAAGGTGCCTTCCTGCCCAGCACCTGCTGTCCTCTAGGGAACTGAGGGGCAGCGGGACCGAGGCCACAGGCACGAAGGTCCTGAGGCCTCCCTGCACCCGGCTCTGCTCCAGCCTCAGGAGAGGAGGGGCAGGATGGGCCCTGGTGACCTCCTTTTTTACCCAGGCACTTCGTAAAGCCATCCTCAGGATACTGAGGTTCACGGGAAAGGAGTGTCCAGCACCCCAGCCCTCAGGGAGGAGCCCCGGCCTGCTCAGGTGTCCCCCGCCCAGGTCTGTCTGTGAGCTCCGCTTCCTATGTTCACGGTGTCAAAGTTCATTCAACCCCCGCTGCTCTGGGGTCAAATCGAGGGGGCTGGGGCTCAGGGTAGAGCATTTGCCTGGCATGTGTGAGGCCCTGGGCTCCATCCTCAGCACCACATAGAAACAAGTACACAAAATAAAGATGTGTGTCCGTCTACAACTAAAAAAATGTTAAAGGTCAAATCAAGGGCACAGAAGGGTGGAGCAGGAAAGGGGGAGCCAGAGCAGAGGATGGAGCCAGTGGGCAGCAGCACGGGCCCGCGGGGTCTCCAGAGCCAGGCAGCGGTGCAGCATCTGGAGCTCGGGTGGGATGGGCGGAGGCTCATCTGGGGGCAGCTGCTACTTAAAGTCATACTTACCATTCCCACCATATTTTTAACAGCCTTCAGCCAGCAGATTATAAGAAAAAGAAAGAAAGAGAGAGAGAGAAGAGAGAGTTTAGAGTCAAGCACAGGCTGTCGCACCACGAGCGAGCGCGCGCTGCCGCAGGAGGCCCCGGCTGGGGAGGAGCGAGAGCAGCAGGACAGGCACACCCAGGCCAGGGCTGGGGCAGGGCATGTGGCATCGCGGGGTTCCAGAGGGTTCCCGAGGCCCCGGGGCTTCCCCTGAAGGCAGGGAAGTGAGGACTAGCTCCCAGGAAGCCCACTGCCCTCGTGTGGTCTAGCTGTCCCTTCTGTGCTGCGTGTGCTAAGGTGCCGGGTTCCGGAAGCGCCTTCCTGGTGCTGCCCACAAGAGCAGGAAGGGCCTCCTAGAGACACAGGATGGAGGGAGGGGCGGCCACGGCAAGTGTCCTGTTCAAGTCCTGGCCGGGAACAGCCCCAGGTGAGGAGCTGCAGCCCCACTGAGGACCTCAGAGCCTGCTCCACTGGGCGGCTCATGTCCACAAGGGAAGTGTTTCTGCTGACCGAGGTCCTGAGGTCCCCCAGCAGGATGGCCAGGAAGGGCGACCGTGCTTCAGGTCACACTTCAAAACTGCTCTGTGCTCTGATCTTTCCCACCCAGAAGCCCAGATGCGCTGTCCCCTGGGCTAGTCCCAGACATTGCTGGCCAGCAGGAGATTGAGCAGGCATAGAGGAGCTCAAGGCCCAGGTGGGGGACCTGCCTGAGGCTAAGAACGAAGCCCCTCTCAGTTCCCGGGTCAGAGCAGCTCCATCCTCAGGGTGAGCGCCCGTCAGGCCTGCTGGGCACATAGCCCACTCCTGCCATTTTTTTTCAGGCATGAAAAGTACTTGGTAGCGGACCCTGTGGCCATCCTGTGGACTGGCACAAGGCCCACTGGGCTGGGGATGGTGGCTGTGACACTTGTCAATCAACTAAAAAAGTTGGGGCGGGCACTGCAAGGCGAGTGCAGGAACCACCTAGGGCTTCAGGTGACAGGCTCTGAGTGTTACCTGGAGATGTGCTGCGCTAGGACACTATGAGGACCTGCCCTTGCAGACCCAGCCCGTGCCTCCCCTCTGATCATTCAGACAGAAAAGAGCAGGAGGGCTGCGAGACTCGCAGGTCTTGTCCTGGACCACACCACACCCTCGGGCTCAGCCGGGCCTAGGCTCCGCTGTCGGGGCCCCCACTCACCCGGCTGATGAGCTGCTCCCCAGTCTCTGAGGCAGTGATGAGCTTGCAGAGGGCCTGGAGGGCGGGGTTGGGCAGACCTGCAGGAGACAAGGGGCGGGGTTACCCAGGGGTCTAGGCACCCGTGGTCCTGCCACCTTCCAGGGGAGAGAGCCCCACACGCTCAGTATTGGTGACATTTTTCAAGCCTGGACCTAACAGACATGTCCACGTGTGACTTGGAGAATGTGGCCTTTGAGGAAGCCTGACTCTGCCACACCCTCCAGGACAGTCCCAGTCAGCAGACTGTGCCACTCTGGCTGCCTTGCAGCTGTGTCAGACCCACAGCCACCAGTGACAGGGTCAGAACTAACACTGCCCAGAGCCACCTCACGTCACCCTGGAAGGGGCAGAGCTGGGGCCTGCTTAGCCTGGACTCTCATAAAGAAGGACCCCTGGTGAGGGGCCGTGGTGGCCCAGATCAGCAGCCCAGGACGACTTGGCCCTTCCGGCTGCGGGTCCTAACCGGATGGGTCTCCCCGTCCCCTGGCCCCTGTTGTCCGAGGCTGACATCCTGCGGTGGCTCACCCAGCAGGGACTGGAGGGTGCTGCTGCACTGCTGGAGCCGGTCCCCCGGGTCGGAGGTGGGGAAGAAGACGGCCGCTGGGAGGCCGCTGGCCGGGGGGTCCAGCCGGAAGCCCACAGCGGTGAGGAGGGCCTGCCAGCCCGGGATGCCACCCACTTTGTTCTCCACGCTCTGCTGCGAGGTGTACATGGCGTTGCGCTGACCGTTCTGGATGCGCTGCAGGGACTTCTCCACCTGGCGGGGAGAGGGACAGTCAGAGGCCCTGGCCGCCCCCTGCGCTCTGCGTGGCTCTGAGGGAGAAGCCAGGGCTGTGCCAACTGGGCTCCGGGCGGCCAAGGGGGCCAGGCCTGGGGGCATCGAGGGTCACTCTGCAGGGGGTGAGGTGGGCGGTCTGCCCCTGAGAGTGGCAGGACAGGCCTCTGTCCCTGTCCTAGTCCCCGGCCAGCCCTTCCTGTCCCCAGTCTCCTCCACAGACCCTGGAGAAATTTGCCTGAAAACAGCTCTCAGGCCAGGGGCTGCCCAGGCCACGTCACAACCCCTCGCCCCACCAAGACCCCTTTGCTGCCGGTGGCCCACCCCACACCGCACCCCGCAGCACCCATCGCAGGCTGGCACTGCTCTCCTTCCCTGACTCGCCACTCGGCTTCCCTCGGCCTGACCTCTGCCCCACAGACCGCGGCTCCCCGCGAGGAAGGGCCTTCTGTCTGCAGGCCTCACCAGGGTCGGGCCTTGGCGTCCCCATCACCTGCCCTCCTCGTCCTCCACAGGGGAGCCTGCTGTCCCTGGCAGGTCTCTCTAGGGGATACCTCTGTCCACCCTGAGACTGAGCGCCATCCCTGGGGGGCAGTCAGTCATCCAAAAGGCCCACCGAGGCTTTTCTGAGCGTGGAGCAGTGAGATGCCAGGGCTCAGGCGACCCCGGGGCAGGCCGCAGCGCACTCATGGCAGCCAGAAGGGCACAGTGCAGCTGAGCCCTGCCTGCCCCGGGGCTGGAGGGAGCACAGGGTAGCTGGAAGAAGGAAGGGGCCGGCGGACCTGACTATGGCCACCACACCCTCAAAGACAAAGCTGAGGAAGGAGAGGACCCCTGAGTCTCGCCTGGGGGCCCCAGGGCACATGGGCAGCTGAGGCCCAGCCTGAGCAGAAGGCTCTGGGGTGTGGAGGGCAGTTCTGCCACCTAGAAAAGGCGGGCTGGGAGAGGGAACCAGGACGGAGGGACTTGGGGGTGACACTTGAGAAGGGACCTGGGCTGAGCAACTGAAAGCATCTGTGCAGCTTCAGACACAGCTGGCGCCAGTGGAGATGCCTTCCCAGCCCATCTGCCTGCAGCAGGTGCCCCTGGGTGCCTTGGGCCACCACACACTTTGTCACACCCCATTCCTGCTGGCCTCAGGCAGACCCTCAGCTGGAGAAAGGTGCATGACCCGTCCATCATGAGATGGTCCAAGAGCGCCCAGCCCGGGCACACGGGGTGTACGACTCCTGCCCAGGCCCTCCATGGGACAAGGAGCGTACATGGCCAAGGGGACCTGCTCACCTGGAATGCAGCCCTGCAGGGAATCCACGGGGTGCTCCCTGACAAGCCTGATGGAGTCACAGAGCATGGGGCTCCTGACCTGTGCGGGGACCCTGGGGCCACTGCATGCTCCAGGTGCAGGAAGGGTGGACACGGAGCAGCTGTGTGGCCCTGCCACTCAAGCCACAGGCCGGCCCTGGCTAGCCTTGCTGGCACCGAGCTCTAAGGAGGTTGCTAAATGGGACACGTTTTATGTCATTGTGTCTTGACTTAAAACCTTTTAAACGTGTAGCTGACGACACTTCCGCTCACGCTCACTGGGGCCCTGCAGATTCTGGGGCAGCCAGAGGCGTGATCAGGAGCCTTCCGTGTGGGTGTCAGAGGGGCCAGTGGCATCCAGCTGTGAAACAGTGACGTCTGGGAGCTGCCGCAGCCCTACTGTGTGCCAGGTGCTCACATTGTCTCAATCTTTGTAATGATCTTGAAACACTGGCTTCATCACCACCCTCTAGAGGAGGAAACTGAGCTCAGGGAGCCAAAGTGACTTGCCCGAAGCCACAGGGAAATAGTGGGGGGGTCGCTGCCCTCCACTGCCCTCTCCCAGGGTCTTGGCAAGGACTGCTGCAGCGGTCCTGGGGCCCTGCGTGGTGCCACCTGCCCACCTCCCAGCTGTGGCTGGCGACTGGCTCTGGGTGCCGGTGCCCTTACCAGGTGCAGCAGCACTCGCAGGGCGTCCCGTGCTCGCTCTGGGTGCTGCAGGATCTCTGTGAGGGCCTGGCCGACGAGCGAGGAGGGGCTGTTGAGCTTGACGTCGCTCCCGATGAGCAGGAACCCTGTAGAGAGCGTGGGGCACCTCAGCAGGGCCCCTGGAGACCCGCCCAGTCTGGGTCCCGTGGTCAGCCCGGCACAGAGCTGGCCCTGGCAGGACATCCAGCCAGCACCCCGTCCCTGTCCTTTCCAGATCACACGCTTCCAGCCATTCAGGAGGCGGGGCCTGCCGATCTGCTCTGAGCAGAGCCGGGTGGGCACCTTCCAGGAGTGACTGGCTTTGCTTTCCCTGAGATCCTTCTGCATCTTTTGTCCTAGCATTTGTGGGGGGACCTGGGGGTGGGAGGCACCCTCCTGCTCTAAAAGTGGCCAGGAAGCACCATTTGCTGTCCAAGGAGCACGTGAACCACATCCCTCCCGAGCCCCAGGCTCCTCAGCACCAAGGAGAAGCTTCAGGACGGGCCTACCCCAGGCCAGGCTAGCGAGGGCTTTCCAGGAGAGGGAGCCGTTTTAAAGTTAGCAAGGCAGTGTCACCAAAAGTCCCTGCCCTCAGAGCAGTGGCCACTTCTACCAACAAAGCTAAAGAGAGACCCTCTTCTAAAACGTCACATCCATATGCACAGGAAGACCAACAGGAGCAGGGACCCCTTTCCAGAATGGCCAAGCAGAGCCAGGCTCCCACAGAGCCTGGGGGGCCTTCTGTGGGACCCTGCAGGTCCCAGATCCCCTTCCATCTGCCAAGAGCACAGATAAAACAGGACATGGGCTGAGAATAGTGAGGGACCCACTGGGTCCCCTGCTTCCTGCATCTCCTGGGGGCAGCGGTTCAGCAACGTGCCACTCTGTGTGGTGATGGGTGAGGGGCCAGAAGCAGGCAGTGGGCCTCTGACCAGCCTCAGGATCAGGAGGACACGGGCCTCAGCCACGGGAGGACACAGGCAATAGTGTTTTTTTTTTTTTTTTAAATGCTGCAGATGTGCTTTTTGTGACGTGAAAGTGCTCCCCCGCCCCACACAGCCTGTCCTCCTGGCACCAGCACCTGGCGTGGGCAGCACAGTCTATGTACCAGTGGGACCAGGGGTGGCCACCACAGCCAACGTTACTTGCTGGCTGGGCCTGGCAACGTGGTGACTCCCCTTCGGGGCTGGCCCTCCTTTGGGAACATTGGCAGTGACATCAGCAGTCTCAGGCCATGCCACCTGGATTTTTGTCACGAGGGAGAGTGAGGGAAGCCATGTTGTCTCCAACTTTAAATGTGCACAGGGGCACGGCTTTTGCTGAAGCGATGAAATGTAAATACTTGAGAACAGGATTCCGGCCAGTCCCCACCACTGGGCCTGCTGCTCGGGGCCAAAGCAGCCTGGGGCGGCGGGATGAGCTCCGGGGTGTGTGGTGGGGACCGCCTGGGGCTAACCCTGCACTTGGTTCTGGACTGGAGTGGGGGTCTCGGGCATGCTGGGGCTTCTGGTGACACCGTGGCTCATGAACACAGGCTGTTGCAGGGACAGCAGCTCTGTCCATGAGCAGCCCACCCTACCCCTCCTGTGGCCAGGTCACAGGTCAGCCACCCCCTCACTCCCAAGCCCCCTCAGCACCATGCCGAGGGCCTCCCAGCACAGGCAGTGCCTTGCACTGGGCAGGGCAACCCAGGCCCGAGCTGTGGGTAGGGTGGAGCCGCAGCACCACCCCAACCACCTGCAGTGGGCACAGAGGACACTGGGCTTCAGAGAGGGCTGTAACTGTCTCAGGTGACAGCAGGTGTGTGACCAGAAGGCCAGATCAAGGGTCCTTCCCATTGGCTGGGGGTTTCAAGGTGGCAACATGGGTCCTCTGGGCACAGTGAGGCCATCTGGTGGCAAACATCTGTCCCTGGTCCAAAAGATGGTGCCCAGGAGGGGACACTCCTGGCCAGGGCGAGGACCAGGGCGAGGACCTCGGCAGGAAGGCACCTCCCCCGCCCCCCATGCCCACCTGCACCTCGAGGCGCCACGAGGCCCCCCAGGGCCACCCACCTGCCCAGTTGGAGGGGTGCGCGAAGGCCTTGCTGCTCTGCACGGCCTTCATGGCCTCCCCCAGGGCAGCGCTGGCCTTGAGCCCGTTGAGCAGCGAGGAGTAGAAGGCGTGGACGAACATCTTGGAAGCGGCCACGGGCACCGGCCACAGAGCCACCAGCACACACTGCGCGCCAGCGGCCAGGAAGGCCCGCGTCAGCGCCACCACGCCGTCGGCCGTGACCCTGCCGCTGGCCTCCTGCGATGAGCCGAGCACCACCAGCTTCACGGGCAGCCGCAGGTCCAGCAGGTCGGCGGCTGTGAGCAGCAGCTCCCGCAGGGGCGGGCAGTCCGAGATGCTCTCCCCGTCGCTGGCGTCGTCCTGCACCCGCAGGGACTCAGGGATCGTGTAGGGGTGGCCGAAGGAGCTCTTGCTGCCAGCAGGGTTGCCGTCCACGCTGGGCGTGAGGACCAGGGCCGACAGTTTCCATGAGATGTGGGTGGCGAAGTGGACGCACTCGGCCTGGGTCAGGGCGCTCATGACCCGCTCCTTGGTGGCCACGCTGCCCACCAGGGGCTGGCAGCCCAGCAGCTCAGACACCATGTGTGCTTCTTCCTCAGCCGACGGCATGGGCCCCCACAGCCACCTGTCCATCACTGCCGACGGGAGCTTGGGGTTGCCAATGACAGCTGCCATGGACGCTGAGCTGGGGTATGCAGGTGGGGTCTTCCTCAGGTGGGACTAAGAGGGGAGGACACAGCAGAACACAGAGTGAGCAGTGGGCATCTCGGGAGGACCAGGGTCCCCGGTGACCTTCACCCTGATTTTCCAACATCTCGACACAGGTGCCTGGCTGCCAGGGATCGCCTGTCCTACAGTCCCGAGATCAGGCCTGGGCTGGGGAGGGACACCACTGTCTGCCAGGTGAAGGGGCGGCCAGCCTGCCATGGCTCACGCCCAGCTGCCCTAGAGGAGCTCCTGAAGTGGGGGGCTTTGGGAAGTGACCTTGCTTCAGCTGCCAGTCAATCTGGCAACAGAGCCCAGATCAAGTGCTTCAGAAGCTCTATGTGTGGAGGAGTTTCACTCCGTCACCTTCCAGGACAGAAACATCCCAGGGTAGAAAACCAGCCCGGAGCCCCACAGTGTGACCTCCCACCAGGGCAACTTTGGATGCTCTTGAAGGAAACGTAAAGGCATCATGTTATTTCACAACGCCCGCCTCTGCTTGGGCCTCGGTCCACTGTGGGCGAGGGAGACAGTGGCCCTCAGAAGACTGTCCCCTCCATGCCTCTGGACGAGTTGACACAGTGAGCTCACTGCTGCCCCCAGTCAAAGCTCTGAAGGCTGCACTGACACCCAGAGGGCTCCGGTGGCGGCAGCGCCTGGGAGACCAGCTCACTCGTCACTGGGATCCATCCGGTCAATCACAGGGTCAGAGGAACCCTGTCGTTCACTTTGGGCTGGCTGTTCCCGTGAGGAGCACAGGATCCAGCAACTAGGACAGTCAGAGTCCAGGGCTGCAGGCATGCGCAGCAGACACCGACCCCACGTGAACAGGCCAGTGACCCAGTGGTCAACCAAGGCCCAGAATAGTCCCAGGGCCCGGGTTCCCAAGGCCAGCCTCCTTCCTGCCCCTGCAGAGCCGCCTGCGTACCTTGGCGTGTGGGCCGAGCGAGCGGATGGCGGGCACAGCGATGAGGGCGAAGCGCTCGTACAGGTACTCGTTGGAGGAGCTGCCCTTGAGCAGGGCGAAGGGGATGAGGTAGAGCTCCCCCTCCAGGACCAGGACCAGCTGCCGGTGCCGGCCCACGGGGCCGCTGGAGTGCATCAGGCCCTGTGGAGAAGCGCGGCAGGCTGACCGGCTGCTGCCAGGGCCCGCACACCAAGGCCAGCTGGGCCACCGGTCAGGTGCGAGAGCCACGGGCAGGTTCGAGGACTGTGGGCCTGAGGGGGGCTCACTCTGGGACCGGCTGGGTGGTCTGGTGGGTTCTCACCACCTGCAGGGCTAGAGCACTTGAAGTCCACGGGTGACCTGGGGCATCAGGGAGGCTAGGGTGCTAGTCATGAGTGGGGCTGGCCCTCAAAGACCCGGGGAGACTCCAGAAGCTCCAGATGTTTCTACTGAGGTAAGGAACGAAGGCAAAGAGCGCTATCCAGAAGGGGTCCCCAGAGTCGTGTCACCCGGATCCCAAGAGCGGGAGGAATGACTCCTCTCAAAACAGGCAGCGGGACCTAGGGGCCTGTTTTCCATTTTGATGAGTAAGAGGCTCAAAGTTCAGCTCTGGGGACGAGGATGACATCTCCCACCCGAGGCGGGCAAGGAGGGGCTCCCAGAACTGGTGACTTTTGAGGTCTCTGTGCACCTCCTCTGCAGGGCCTGGTCTGGGCTCTGGAGGCACTCTGCCTTCTGGGGACTTCAGGAGATCTAGACGGCACTGGTATGACACTGTCCCTCCCGAGAGGTCCAGCAGGAGGATATGAGGGAGGGGTGCCCCTGTCACGCAGACAGACAACCCCCTTCTCTCTAGACACATTTCATTCCCAAAGGGCTAATGAGGGAGACTGAGGCCCGGGGCCCTCGGAGGAGGCGAGGTGCAACTCTGACGCCGGCCCAACTCAGGCTGTGGGCGGTTGGAGCAGAGGCCGCTGCCACGGGGGAGCCCAGGTCTGTGTCGCGCTGCGGGCAAGGCTGCTCTGTGGGAGGGAGTCGCCAGGCTCTGCCCCCATCTGCCAGGCGGGAATGATGTGCGCCCCGAGGAAGCACGCGTGCTCGCCTGGCCCGTCTGCCACGCTGCCCCGGGCACTTGGCTGAGGGTGGCAGAGGCACTCGGCTAACCTAAAGTGACACATGCCTGGCGGGACAGTCAAGCCCTACAAAGCCCCGTGACTTTTTTTTTTTTTTTTTTTAAATTCTAGCTGCATTGAAAGAAAGTGGAAATTAAAACCATCAGACCAATTTGCTAGTCGTTTGCTTTATGAGCCGACCTTCAGGAACACGGGGTGAGTCTCCATGTGACCCAGGAACAGGGGAGCAGGCTGCCCGGACAGCCAGTGCTGCCCGTGATGAGCGTGGGGTCTGCACAGGGGCCAGCAGTGGGCACCTGGGCCTGCCCCTCCCTAGCCTGAGGACCACGCCTGAAGCCCAGGCTCCTGCAGGAGGCCGTGGCCCTGGGGCACCTCTGTGGGACTGTGCAGGTGGACTGGCAGCTGGGCCTTGGGGGCCGCGCTGACAGCGCCCTGTCATTGTGACAACCTGCAGTCAGCGGTTGTCACAATGACAGACCCTTGCCACTCAGCGAGAACTGAGCAGCCTGAGGTACAGTCATCATGGGACCCGTGCCACCTGCCACCTGCAAAACTGGCCCACCCTGTTCCATGGACACAGGGCGTGGTGACAGGATGCAGCCCCGGCCTGCAGGTCCTCCTGGGCTCCTGCTCTCAGGCCCAAGCCCCAGGAAGCTCTGTCTGGTATATCCCACAGGCCACTGAACGTCCCTGGGACTGTTCCACAGCACCTGTCCATGTGAACCAAAGGCCAGTGGAGGAGCTGGGTAGGGGACGAGGCATACTGCCTTCCCTCAGCTCTGGATGGCATGTCCTGAGCCGACGGGGCTCTTAGGGAAGCCGGGCAGCCCCGAGGCCGACCGCAGCAGAACCCAGGGCCACCTGGGCCTCAGAGGTAGTGAGACATAGGCACCATGCAGGCCCTGCCAGGAGACCGACTCGCACCAGAGGGCTGGGAAGGCCTGGCCTGAGCCATGAGGCATCACTAGGCGGGAGAGAGAGGAAGACGTGGGGCAGAGAGCCGAGGGCCCTGCAGGTTGGGCAGAAGGTGGGCTAAGGCCAGCTGCATGTCCTCAAGTTGGTCTGTGTCACAGCAAAGGGCCACCCAGTGATTCAGAGCAGGGCAGATGTGCTGAGGAACAGGGACAGGGGGACTTGCCAGGACACAGTGAAGAGTGACCTTAGGAACAAGAAGGGAGGAGCCTGCAGATGGGGAGCTCCCTGGGCCTCACGTACATCTGTAGCCGGGAGGCCGTGGGAAGGCCGCGGGGCCCTGGCGACCTTCTGAGCCCCGCCAGTGCCACATCCCGCCCTCTACTGAAGGGCCAGCTGTGACCCGAGGTGGACCTGAAAGGGAGGAGCCGCGGGGTCTCCACCCACCATACACCATCCAGCGGAGGCCAGGGAGAGCGTTCCAGAACCCCGTCCTGCATGGGCCCCGCCAGCCCAGGGGAGGCACCTGCTGCCTGCTGAGTCTTGGGTTTGAAAGACAGAACGGCACAGGTGACAGCCTTCCCCAGCCACCGACAGAGTCCAGCAAACCCCATCAGGACGGGTCTCCTGAGCGGCCAGTTTCTTGTTCTTTGGAGAAGAAATGCGAGGAGGCCAGGGGTGCTGGCCTGTCTGTTCCTGAGGCGCTGCCTTGGCGTGCCCCTGGAGGCTGCGACCTTGGTGGTCAAAATGTGAGGCCAGGCAGTGGACACTGCTGAGCCCCGTGTGCCTGGCCTGAGGACAGAACAGGAACAGGCAGCAAGCCCCCGGGGACCTCGCGCCCAGCTCTGGGCTCACTAGGCGCAGCAGGGACAGGGACAGCCTTGGAGAGACCTGATCCTTGGGCTGCCGGGGGTAGGCGCCCTGGAGGTGGCTCTGGGTAGGACTTCAGAGTCCAGGTCCCATCAGATCTGCTCTGGGCCAGGCCACCAGGGAGCCAGGCGGCACTCGGGAGGAGGAGGGTCCTAATCTCCTTTTAATCCTTAGGAGACCCCCGCCCCCTTTCTTTCCCTTTTCCTCTCTAGCTTCTGTACATGAGAAAACCCAAGACCCCTGACCTTATGTTTGACTTATTTCACTTAACACGGTGGCTTCTAGTTCCATCCATTTCCCTGCAAATGACATGATTCGTTTTTCTTTATGGCTGAGCAGAACTCCACTGTGGGTATACACCACATTTTACTTGTCCACTACTCCTCCTCCGATGGACACCAGGCTGGTTCCACAGTCTGGCTGCTGTGAACTGGGCTGCTATCAACCTGGGAATGCCTGTGTCATTGGAGTAACACCCAGGGGTGGTGGCCGTGGTCACTTTTGCAGTACAGCTTGTCCTTGCTCCCCAGCATTCATGTTCATGCGGCTAAAACACATAAGTGGCCTCTGTGGAGCACCCAGGTCCAAACTTTAACCCAGCGACCAGGAAAGAGCTGTCCCCTCATGTTTACGTCACCACCACCACCGTCCACACTATTTCCTGAGTCGGCACCATGAAGTCCCAAAGCCAGGATCCCAATCCTGAGCTTCTCCAGGAGACCCCTAGGAGCCCTGGGTATCGGTGACTTCTGACCCAGGGCGTCTTCCTCACGACACGTGATGACCAGAGGTCCTGAGCTCTTCTGAAGGCAAACGTTAGGTTGCACGTGTCCTGATTTCTGCCTAAAGAAACAGGGGCACTCCTTGCACACCGAGGCTCAATGGATTCACAAGTGTCCTCCTGTTCAGGGGAGGACATGAGCCCAGCCAGAGGAATGAAAGCCCTGATCACCAAGGGGCAGGGGAAGGCCGGTCCTGGCTGTGGCCTGCTTAGGCCGGATGTTGTGGACTCCCACACCTCCCCAGGATCCCCAGGGGAAGGGGCTGCGGGGAGTCTGGACACAGGAGTGCAGGTGTCTGGGAGGTCTAGCCGACTCTCGCGTGTGACCTAGTGAGCTGACCAAGCAGAACTGTTGGACAGTAGAGAAGTCTTTTCTGAAAGCTTCCGAGAAACCTTGCCATGGTGGATGCGTCTGGTTCAGCAAACGGCACACACCTTCTGGAAATAACCCTAGAGCTTCCCGGCACTGGGGGGCTGTGGCCGTGGGCTCGCAGCAGGGGAAAGCTCAGTGGGTTCCACTGCAACCTTTGGCCAACCCCGCAGCCACTGGCTGACCTGGAGGACCGACCGGGAGACACCAGGGGGCTGGAGTTAGAAGGACATGGCCAATGGCCAGTGGGAGCGGGCGTGGCTGCCTGACCCCAGCTTCTAACCACAAGCAATCAGCATGGAGGCAGCAGCCCATCCTCAAGAGCCCCGGTGATGGGGACCTCAGTAATGGCCCTGTGGAGCAAGAGGGCTGGGCCTGCCCCCACCCCGGGCGCTCCCGTGGGGTTCCAACCACAGACAGCTTGCGGATAATCGCCTCCATTTTTCCTCCTCCTAATCAGTCGTGGAAATGCTGGCTCCTTGGTGACGTCTGCCCTCATTTGCATATTCCCACAGATGTCTCAATCAGAAATCACTTAGACAGCCGGCAGGGCTGCCAGTCCCCAGGGCCTCGTGCTCCTTGGCAGACTCAAATCTGGGTCTGTTTGTACGGGCAAAGTTTCCCTGGTCACCTCCAGGTTCCAGGCCACTGGGAGACAGGCACCCAGTGTTCAGGCTCGCTCCCGCTGCGAGTGTGCAGGGTCCGCTCTTTATTGCACTACTTGATTTTGCAAGGGGCACATTGCAAGACACCAAGGGACTCTTCCTTGGAGTGATCATGGCCAGGACTCAGGCCAAGCCAAGCGGTCTTCACTGCAGAGGGCTTGTATTCCCAGGCAGGAGGCCCTGGGCGACGTCTCCAAATCCCAGCATGCAGGAAGGCAGTCCCCAGTCTAACTGGCCTGCACTGGAGCCAGCAGCCATGGAGCCTCGCCTGGAGCAGCTGAACTGCCACTTCTCTTTCTGACCAGGGTCTCTTGTCTCGCGCTCCCGGCCCACACCTTGAGTTTTTGAGATTTCACAAACAGGAACAAACTTAAACAGGGAAATAGGACAAGGGCGACAGAGTCTATAGCTGGAACAAGTTCCAACTCCAACATCCTGAGGGGTGTCTAAGGCTGGGCTTTTGAGTGACCTGGCCAAACCCCGGGAATTCCTGACTCTAAACCTGGCCTTGATGATTTCAGCATCTGACCTTGGAGGAGGAGGTGTCCGTGACCAGGAGGGTGACCTGGTGCACAAGTGGACCAGCAGTTTCACTTGGCCCAACCCAGCGCTTCGTCACACATGCTGCTGGAGTGACCTGGGGAGAGCCCAAGTCACCTCTAAAGTACGCTGTCAGCATTTGGGTCGTGGGGACAGGACGGCTCCCTTCTTTCTTTCACAAAGCCCAGTGACCATCCTTCACTCGAATTTGATTAAAAAATATCGCTGTAGACACATAATCCCAGTCCCGCTACCACCAGATACTCGGGACTTTTCCTCTGGTGGCATTTCCCCGTTGGGCATCAGACGGGCTTTGACTTAATGTCTGGTGATGGCTCACGAGCAGCTGTGACAGGCCCCTCCGAGTAAGTGGACACGCTCACTCCGTCCTGACAGCAAAGGACAGAGCGGTCCTAGGAAAGTGCCCAGACACCACTACCCTTGAGCCAAATGAAATCAAAGGCCGGTGCGGGGCCTAGGGTAAGGGATTATTCTGTTCCACTTTCCATACTGCCTGACCCAGGACTGCGGCGACACAAAGGCGGTTGTTGGAATAATTATACGCCCCATGTGAAGAGGCTAATCGCTTCAGTCTTGAAGTGTCAGTGATTCATGATCTTGGACTTTCAGGTCTGATTTGCAGCCTCACTGAAAACGGGGACAAGGGTCTGGCTGTCAGGCGCCCACAGCGCCAGGCTCCGGGAGCCGGCTGGCGGTGCCGCATCGCCCTCTCGTGGCCCCGAGAGCCCCATGGGCTGCATGCAGCAGAAGGGATCCAGCCCAGTGGGGAGGAGAGGTAGCCCCAAGACGAAGGGTCCCCCACCCACTCCTCGCTGGCCACACTGTCTGCTCTGGTGTGGGACAGCGCGCTCCTGACGTGGCCAGTAAATATTTATAGAACGAATGGGTGAAACGGGGAGGAGAGGAATCCTAACTAGATTCTAGCTTCTCGGGGAAACATTTTTTACTAAAACACGTGGTTTTATTTTTAAGTTTTAAAATTCATTCATCTGTTTTATTTATTTATTTATTTTGGTGGGGGTACCAGGGATTGAACCCAGGGGTACTTAACCACCGAGCCTCATCCCCAGCCATTTTTATTTGTTATTTAGAGACAGGGTCTCACTGAGTAGCTCAGGGCCTTGCTAGGCATGTGTCACCGCACCCAGCTGTTCATTTATTTTGAGACGGGGCCCTGGCCACGCTCCTGGCTCAGCTGGTTTCCCACTCGGCGCCCCAGGTCGCTGGGACCCAGGCGCACCCATGCCCTGTGGCAGCGGATGGTCTCTGTTGGCTCTTGCTCTGATCCTTGGATCTAAGGTTTCACTCCCCTTTGACGCAGTCAGACTCCCTCGCTGTGCTTAAACTCCTTGATTCACAAGAAGGGGATATTTTAAATGCCAGAACTGGGGATCTTGAGATGAGGCGGTCAGCTGTGGTGGACACACCGGTGCTGCTGGTGGCTGGCAGGGCCTCTCCTCTCCCGTTCTGACCGCTGCTCTAACTTGTTCAGGTCAACATGCAGGCACGTCGCTCAGCCGCGATCCTGCCTGAAACAGCCCCAAACCTGGCAGCGTCCCGCTGGGGGCAGACACCCCCAGATCCAGAAGTGCCCCAGAGCTGGCCCAGCCTGCCTTCTGCCTCACACCTTGAGCCCAGGGTCGCACGGGCGGCTGCGGGAAGGAGGGCAGCGGATTTCTCCCCTGGCCTTCTGCTTTCTGTGCCAACCTAGACCAAAGGCACCTCGGACCACGCACCACCCACTAACTACTGAGCGTGCTGGGGACAGAGATGAGGGACAGTCCTTGCTTCAGGGCAGCGTGGGGTAGGTGGCAAGATGGAGGGTGAGAGGCACGAAGAGCTAATGGGAGTCCTGGGTCTGGTCAGCGGCCAGGAGCCACCAGACTTCCTGGTATGCAGGGCCCGGTGGGAGGGGTGGGGTCGAGGAAGGTGGAGAAGATGCCAGAAGGCTTCAGAGAGGCCACACTGGCGCTGGCCAGGAGAGGGGCCGGCTCCAGATGCCCCACACTGCCCAGGGCAGAGGTGACGGTCACAGCCAGCTCCCTCTTTGCCCTCTGCTCCCGACCACCAACCCACCATCACCAGAGCAGTAATGTGGGGACCTGGGTGAGCCAGGCACAGGGTCAAACCCCCTGAGGAGCCAGGGGGAGGGCACTGGAGGGGAGGCTGGAGGTAAGTCACCAAGGTGGTTTGTGTGACAGTTGGTGGCAGGAAAGAAACCCTGAAAGGCAGCTCAGGTTTCAGTGTCCCTTTCTCCCTCTGAGGTGCGGCATGAGTCAGGGGGAGTGACTGCCAGCTAGGGTGCCCCTGGCGCTGTGGCCACCCTGTGGGGGGACCCTAGGGGGAGGGCAGCATCGGGGAGGGGTGCTGCTGTGGGGGGCTGCACGGAGGCAGTGGCGCAGGAAGGCTGGAGGGCCCGGCAGCAGCTCAGCTTAAGAGGTACCTGGGCACAGAGGCCACCCACCAGGCCTGGGCAGGGCCTCTCCTCTCCCTGTGATGGGCACAATGGCCACCTCTGACCAGGCATCTACTGTCTCTGCCTACATGCTCACACAGGCCCAGGCCCATCCAGCGGCTCAGGAGGCTGAGGCAGGAGGATGGCAAGTTCAAAGCCAGCCTCAGCAACAGCGAGGCCCCAAGCAGCTCAGTGAGACCCTGTCTCTAAATAAAATATTACATAGGGCTGGGGACGGGACTCAGTGGTTATACGCCCCTGGATTCCATCCCCAGTTCCAAAAAGAAGAAGAGGTGGTTTCCTCAGGAGGCTGCAGGCCTCTGTCAGGCAGCTGGAGCAGAGCCAGGGCCTGAGCCCAGATCCCCATGCTGCAGTTCGGGGCCTGGGCACTGGCCAGCCACCCACAAGCCTGCGCGTCGCCAAGGCCCCAGTGCCGCGGGAAGCTGGACGTGGGCGACGCGTGTGCTGGAAACCCCGGGTTGCCTCCAAAGCTGTTTTTCTGTCTTGGGGGCTACTCGGGGGCACTGGCCAGGAAATGATGTATCCTGACGCCGAGGAGCCTCTGTCCCCGGGAGGCACTTACCCCTTCCATGGGCGCGATGAGCAGGTCGTAGAGGGCGCGCAGCGGGGGCTTGGAGAAGGAGCTCTGCCTCCTGGGGAGAGAGGAGGTCCCGTCCTTGATGGGCGACACGGTGCTACTGAACAGGCTCGTCATGCTCTGGCAGCTCCTGGGGAGAGGACGGAGATGCATGGGGCTGGGCCAGGGTGGGCTCCCTGCCCTCCTGAGCCCAGGTGGCACGCAGTACCCACCACATCCCTCCCGGCCTGGTCCCCTGCTGTCCCTCCCAGGTACCTCTCACACAACAGCCAGCACGGGCAGAAGCCGCGAGCGAGCAGCTGTACTTGCGGCCTACGTTTCCATGGAGCCTTTCCACAAGATCAAATGTCCCAAAGTGCGGCTCAAAGGACTTCATGACATCCTGCGTGGAGCCACAAGGTGAGGCAGATGCAGGGCCCTCAGGAGTCAGCAGTGGCCACCACCCGACAAGGAGGACAGTGTCCAGTGCCGATTAGAGCCACAGACAAGAAAAGAGCACGCCAGGGCCGCCGAGGCGCAGAGCAGCCACTGGGCACCTGAAGGCCGCGGCCATGACCTCACGGGGCAGGGACACTGCGAGTGCTGACTGTGTCAGGCCTGTGAAGGCTGCGGGGTTGAGGTTTGCTTTTCAATCGTTCTTTCTTCTTCTTGTGGGGGACAGGGGACTGAACCCAGGGCATCTGACCACAGAGCCACATCTCAACCCTGTTGTGTTTTATTTAGAGACAGGGTCTCATGAGTGGGTTAGGGCCTCGCTGTTGCTGAGGCTGGCCTTGAACTCGCCATCCTCCTGCCTCAGCCTCCCCTGCTGGGATGACAGGAGAGCGCCATCATGCCCAGCTGCTTTTCCATTTTCCTTCCTTTCCAGGCAGTTTTGTTAATGCAGAGTCTACTCACCCTAGGGACCCCAAATATCCCACCCCAGCACAGGCTGAGGACCTGTCATTTGTCCAGAAACCTCTCCTGAGTGCCAACTGTCTGCCAGGCACTGTTGGGGTCTGTGGGGAACCTAGAGGGGATAAAATGCACGGGCAAGCATGAGCTGGACAGAGGCGGGGACGCAGCCACACTTTCCTCTCAGCACCCCCTGTCGGCCCAGCCAGTGTGGCCCCAGCACAGCCATCTGGTGACGGTCTCTGTGACAGCTGGACAGTCAGGGATCTCCCAACCTCGAGTTTTGCCACATGCTGCAGGGACCTCGAGGGCAGGGATCATGTCTCACACCAGATGTACCATGGGCTTCTGGAAGCGCTGGCTGCTGGCTGTGACAGCAACATGATTGTCACCTAAGAACAAGCCAGAGGGTGGCCTTCCTCCTGGCTCAGGACCTGTGTCATCTAAAACATGCTATAAAAGCTCTGTTTATGTTTCCCAGAAATGGCTTCCACCCCTGGCGTCCCCACCCTTCTCGGGCCCTCCCCAGGGTCTCGCGGGACCTAGTCTGGGGATGGAGCCGAGCCAAGCTCTGAGCCCCCCAGCTCCCCACCTGCTCCCGAGCGGAGCTGAGCAGCGGGATGCGGAGGCCTGCAGAGCCCACTCACGTCCCCGCACTCAGGAAATGTGTAGTGACAGGCGTCAGAGCCAGTGAAGCAGAGACAGTCCTGGAGTGGCATCAGGCTTGCATGATGCCCCAGGACACACTGCAAAGAGCAGCGCTGCCCTGGGGGGCGACCGCCAAACTGCTCTCCAGAGGAGAGGCACCAGTGTGACATGCGGTGTCTGTCACGCACTGTTCAGTAGGGTGACCACAGCTCTCAGCAGGCGGGAGCACGGCCCTCAGGAACGCATGGCCGTCAGACTGCGTGGGTGGCAGGAGGCGTCAGGCCCTCTGCCCTTGCACCTTGTTTCACACCTCGCTGGGGTCTCTGCACGGGCCTGGCACTGCCCCAGGGCACCCAAGTCTATGATTCCTCCAGGGACATCCAGGGAGGTGCCACATGCCCAGCGATGTGCAGCCCCAGGTCCGCACGGTGACTCTGCACCAAAGGACCCTGATGCAGACAACGCCCAGCTGTGGAGGTCCGCCAGCTCCCCTCGGGCTTCAGGAGACCAGGAGGGTCCCAGCTGCACAGGCAGACCCGGGACTCCCTCCTAAACCATCAGAACCAGCGCTCCAGGTGTCCGTCCTGCACAGGACCTGGGCCTAGGGCCCTGGACACCTGTACAGGGCGTTCCAACAGCTGAGCTGCTGAAAGAAGAGTCAGGGCGGGGCTGGAGCCCAAGCCGGCCACCAGCAGGAAAGGACACTTGTCTTCCTCTCTCCGCCATGTGCCACTCCAACAGGGGCACAGCAGCACCCGGGCTCAGGCCGCTGACTTCCACTGAGGGCAGACCCAGCTGGGGGCAGCTTTCTGAAGAGCACTTTTTGATTTGGGCCATGGGGACAATTTGGGGTCAGCTGCCCGGTGGACAAGGTGGAAGAGGTCATTCCAAACAGGGGCAAGAGGGGGACAGCAGGTGGAAGTGGAGATGGGGTGCCGTGCAGTGCGTGTGGGAGCAGGGCCGCTGCACGCTGGGCAGCAGCCAGACCGGTGGCCAGGTGGGGCGCTGGCTTCCTGTGGGGAGCAGGTCCCCCTTCCTCTGCCCACCACTGGACCGCAGTTCTGCCCATGGCATGAGCAGAGGGAGGTCACCTGCATCTCTCCCTGAGATCTCTCCCCTGGGTCCCCTGCTTGACACCACAGCCACGGTCAGGCCCTATGTCACTGTCACCCTGGGCCAACTTCAGTCGGGATGCCAGTCAGATGTCCTTGGCCATGACTGGCAAACGTGCAGCCGTCCAGGGCACCCGCCTGGTCTGCAGAGGTCTCCTGGGCCCACCTGGCACACGGCATGTTGGCATGTCTCTAGATGGTGCAGACTATCAGGAAGCCCACCTGTGGGATGGCCAGCACTGGAGCCCCTGGCAGAGACCCCGTGTCTAAGTCTCAGCAGAGCCATCCTGCCTGGCACCTGACCTTGTCCTGCTCCTTCCAAGGCCACTGAGCACACCTCTGTCCCAGACACCACACTGGGTGCTGGCTCTCAGCCTCCTGTCTCGCCCTGTCCTGACCTGGCAGCTCACTGACCAACCACATCTGGATTGACAGTTCCTGAGCACTGACCCCGCAGGCCCAGATTGGGTGGGTACCCCTGGCCCTGGCCACATGGCCCCTTGTGCTGGTCAGGCAGGCAGATCTGGAGGTCACCCTCTGGTCTGACCCAGGAGGGCGCCTATCCCTAGAGACCCTTTTCAAGTAAAAACAAAATCCCAGAAATGGTGAGTTGATGGCTTAAAAAAACCACAAAAGAACCAAACTAACCTGAAACCAGAACTGAGGTTAGAGTCACCCACTCAGGACTTCTCCAGAGCAGCAGGCATCCTGCTACCCGCAGCGGCCTCCCCATCCAGCTCTGCGCGGCCCCAAGGGGCTTCCCGTTCACCCACGGCAGCAGCAACCAGGCCCAGCTGTCCCGCTGCCTCGCTCTGGCAGCTGCAGGCCTGGCTCTGCCTTGGCAGTAGAATCTGTGACTCATCAGGGTGCCCACAGCTTCCAGGTGCTGTCATCTGCCCAGGAGAGATGGTGCCACTGACAGGTGCCAGCGTGCAGTTTAGCCCTCAGAGTCACAGTTGGAGGGCTGTCCCAGGAGTGACAAGGCCCAGGGACAGCAGAGCTGGGGAGGAACCAAGAACAGAGGCGCTGGTACCCGGCCCCTCCTCCCCCGGCGCAGGTGTAGGGGGGCTTCAGGCTGGGATGCTGAGGCAGGACACAGCCACCAGACCCAGATCTCTCACCTGCATGGTCACCAAGCGGCACAGAGCAATCTTAGGCTCAGTCCTTATGTCCACAGTGACCTGAGGCAGCTGCTGCACTGGGCCTGCTACTGGGTCTACTTGATAGCGATCAGCTAAGCAGCGGGTCCTCAGCCCTGAGCCTGGACGAGCACAGATGTGGTGTGGACCCCAGCTGTGGAGACCTCACCAGGGCACGCCACTTTCCACTCCCTTCCTACCTTTACTACGAAATGAAGGGTTGGGTTAAAGTTCTTGTTGGTCTCTTTGATTTAAAAAAAGAAAAGCTGATTCCATCTAGACGAGTCCTCCCCCTGTGCTGAGCCTCCGCACCCTGCCTGTGTTTCCCGGTGAGTGTCAGGCACAGGCCGTGAGGGTGCGCACAGCTTCCAGGTGCTGTCATCTGCCCAGGAGAGATGGCACTACTGACAGGTGCCTAGGTGCAGTTTAGCCCTCAGAGTCACAGCTGGACAGCGGCAGGCCCCCCAGGTTCTGGGGCCCCTGGGACAGCAGAATGCTCAGAGGCTAGGGGGTGTGAACAGAGTGGGAGGGACAACTGGCCCCCTGCTATCCTCTTTCCTGCACCCTGAAGGCCTGGGGCTTCTGTGGCCACAGGCCAGGGTTCCCAAGGACAGTGCCTCAGGCGCATTGCTCTGAATGTCCCCAGGACTTCCAGCTGGGTGACTGTTCTCAATCTTCCTCTCTGGGCTCCAAAAGCAGAGACCGGTGCTTCTCACTATTAGAACAGGAGCTAGAAAGGGGCACCTGCTGAAGCAGACCAGAGGCCCCTCCCAGAAGACCCGTACCATAATCAAGTAGATGCCCCTCCATTTGTAACATATGAGTTCTCTTCTTATCAGAGAGCTTTGTAACAGAATACCCACAAAAATCTCTACAAAGAACTCACCGTGGGCTTGGACTTCCTATTTCCTAGGAGGACTAAGTTATTCTGTCTTGCAAAAACTAAGTTTGCCCGCAGACTTGATGATGTCACTTCTCTTGTTGTAAAATTTCTGACTAATCTAAAAACATGGGACTAAAAGCACTTTCTGTGAACTCAAGAAAAAAATACTTTTATGTAGACTTCTGCAAAAATGCAAACCTCCAAGCTGCCCCCATCTTGGGTATAAAGTTCCAAGAATTTCCAGACTTGAGGCCCAGAGAGTTTTAGGCAAGACCCCTCTGGACCCTGCAGCCAATAAACCTGCTTCCTGAAAATCCCTCGGGTGCCCAGCCTCTTCTGCCCTACATCACTGCGACACCACCAGGCCTGCCATAGCCATCTTGCCCTCCCAGGGCCATAAGGGGCGTTGTTCCTCCTTTGTAAGCGAGGAATTCAGGTCCAGAGAGGGCAAGAA